TGCTGTGCACACGCGGCCTCCACGTAGCGTGTGCAGGAAAGTCACAGGTCCCTTTCATAGAGCAGGACATACTGGCATGTAAACTAGGGACACCTCCTGACGGTGACACTTCAAGTAATCTCTGGTCTGCTCATCTTCAAAAGGGTGTACATGCAGAATGAAGAGATGTTTTGGTGTGTTGTTTAATGAATAGTCACCGGAAACGAAATCTGTCCTGATTCAACACAAGCACCCTTTTCTAATGTTTTCAATTCGACCACATCCAACTTGTAGCTGTGGAGCAGGCGGATACAGAGGGCTGACTATCCACGCGCATGCGTTCGGTGTGCTGGCTTGGGACCTGCTCTGCCTCACGCTGCCACAAGAACCTTCCCAGGTAGACAGCCGAAAGCCAGAGCAACCCCCTTTAATGACTGTATTAACAGCCCTTTGCCCGTGCGATCCACTGTCGCTCCGTCCGCTGTTGGTGTCGCTGAATGATTAAGGCGGTGAAAGGAAAAAGATGTGTTTTAGAAAAGCTGCTGCCAGCGTAGATGTGACGGAGTCAAAGACGACGTTGGCCAGGTGACAAATGACCTGGTTTTAGGCTGTGCCATTTACAGTCCTTAAACAGACTGCTAGTGCGTGTGGCTGACGCCTTTGAACACACTGTTTATATTAACTCACTGAATCCTCGCACGGTACGGTGTCACCAGTATTACTACTCCCGTTTTACTATAGACTGACTCCTATAACCCCTTCTCATTGATGCTGGTGCATGGCTAGTCTACCATGTCACTAGGACCACATCCACGGAGAAACCGCTTTGTACTGAGTCGGTGCCAAGTTCCTGTGCTTACCCTAAACAACACAGGAGAGCAGCTCTTTACCTCGCATTTCCGTCACAGAGATAAAGTATTCTGGGGATTTGCATAGGTGACATGCAAAGGGTATGACATTTTACAGAAAGAATATAAGTATCCATAGATTTGGGTATTTATGCAGTTCTGAGGCAGAGCCTCAATGTATACCAAGGAACAATGGTATCTTCCTGACAGGTAGGTTCAATTCTCGCAGATCACACTCACTTTAACTCTGAAAGAGAGAATACCTTCGAACCTTTTCCCAATTGTAGACCTTTCTAGCAAATGGACATCAATATTGTATGCCTTTTCCATTAGCAAGCTAAAGTCCCTGCTTCTACTGCCTGTACATCACCAGAGAGTGGGGACATGCCCACGTCGGGAAGATCTTTCCAGCAAAGGGCTCTTAAGACTGGAAGTCCGTGAGTGTCCCACCATCCTTGAAGGGGCTGTTTCCATGGAGATCAGGGTTCTAGCAGAGAACGGAGGAAGGGTGGACTAAGTGCGTTCATGCTTTCTTGGAGTTGTGTGGACTCCATACAGTGTACGTTGGCCTTCTCACACTACAACGGCTGTCTCCGCCGTGCATCTCCAGAAAACTTTTCATCTTGCAGATGTGAAACTGCATGGAGTTTCTACACAGCTCTCCATGCCTCCCTCAGCCCAGCCCCAACTAACGTCCGCGGCCTTTCCTTGTGTCTTTTCCACCATGAAACCTCATGAGCAGAGCCCCACTGTATTTGCCCTTTGGTTCTTTTGTATCCTGTGTGTTTCACACAGAGCAGTGTCTTCGGAGTAGACTCCTTAGCTTATTGTTGGAATGCAAAGGTTCAGGAAACCACCAAGCAGGTCTAGACCTGGACAGTAGCTGGGATCCTTGTTCTGATCACAGCCTGCTGCTTCCACAGCAATGACTATTGGGCTGGGACTGGGGCTCGGTGATCGTGTTTCCCTAGCACGCATGAGGCCTGAGTTAGATACAGAATGCAGAGCGGGACAGAGACTACAGTGATCTGATAGTAACAGTTTTCTTTTTCCCCTTACTTTGCGTACCTCCCAGCAGAATCGTCGCAGAAAAAAAAAATAGAATGTATAATAGGAGCAACATAAAAAACATTTTGACATTGCTAGTGATTATACTGAATAGAAGCATACAAAAATAAGCACAAAATAATATGTCTTCTTTAACCCAGTATAGCATGGATATTAACATTTGAACATGTAATCAATATGAAATTGTAAGTTGGGCATTTTACTCTTTTTGTCATACTATGTACCCAATATGGTAGCTATCTGACTACGTATAGCTATTTAAATTTAAAGTCATTGAAATTAATACAATTAAAAAGCCAGGGGGTAGAGAAGGCGCTCATTAGTTAAGAGCACTGGCTGCTCTTCCAGAGGACCTGAGTTCAGTTCCCAAGCACCCACAAGATGGCTCACAATTTCAGTTCCAGGGGATCCAATGCCCTCTTCTGGCCATAAGTACACACATGGTACACAGACATACACACAGGCAAAATACCTCCTACACACAATTTTTGTTTAATCTAAAAAGTCAGTTCCTCACTCTAACCACAATCCATGTGCTCAGTTACTATGCATGACTAGTGACCGTCATGCAGAAGAACAGTGGTGTAGAACATTGCACCTGTGCAGAACAGTGATGTAGAACATTGCATCTGTACAGAGGAACAGTGATGTAGAGTCTGTACAGAACAGTGATGTAGAACATTGCATCTATGTATAAAAGGAGTGATGTAGAACATTGCATCTGTACAGAGGAACAGTGATGTAGAGCATTGCATTTATGCAGAACAGTGATGTAGAACATTGCATCTGTACAGAGGAACAGTGATGTAGAGCATTGCATCTATGCAGAACAGTGATGCAGAACATTGCAACTATGTATAAAAGGAGTGATGTAGAACATTGCATCTGTACAGAGGAACAGTGATGTAGAACATTGCATCTGTACAGAGGAACAGTGATGCAGAACATTGCATCTGTGCAGAACAGTGATGCAGAACATTGCATCTATGCAGAAGAACAGTGATGTAGAACATTGCATGTATGCAGAGGAACAGTGATGTAGAACATTGCATGTATGCAGAGGAACAGTGATGCAGAACATTGCATCTATGCAGAAGAACAGTGATGTAGAACATTGCATCTATGAAGAAGAACAGTGATGCAGAACATTGCATCTATGCAGAAGAACAGTGATGTAGAACATTGCATCTATGAAGAAGAACAGTGATGCAGAACATTGCATCTATGCAGAAGAACAGTGATGTAGAACATTGCATGTATGCAGAGGAACAGTGTTGTAGAACATTGCATCTGTGCAGAACAGTGATGTAGAACATTGCATCTATGCAGAACAGTGGTGTAGAACATTCCATCTATGTAGAAAGGTCAGCAGAGATCATTGCTAGTGTTCTGTGGGTGGCTTTCCTCTGCTGAGGCTTGTGCTTATGTGGTTTGTGCATGTTTCTGTAGTTCATTTATTGTTACTACGAAGTAGCATCCCACTTCATAACTTAGTAACCTTTTTGTTCATTGTAAGCAATATTTCTAGGCGCGTTGTTATTTCCCTCAGGATGCACTTAGCATCAGCTTCTTGTTGCTGACACATAGGATGGGTATCTGCATCTTTACTACACGATAGCAAATCCTTTTCTGCGTGTTTGCAATCATGTTCATGTTAACCGCCAGCATCCAAAAATCCCTATTGTGCCACACCCTCACCCACACGTGGCACTGTCACCCTTTCTAGTGGCTATCCAGTGATACCTCTTTGTGAGCTGGATTCCCCCTTATTCATAAAATAAAAAATGCAGTGGTGTGCTCCATAGGAACACATAGTCTAGATGGAGAGAGGAAACACATGGTAGGTGTCTCCTGTGTGCACACTTGTATATTATATATAATGTTTTATATTACATAGATGGCTACTATCCTTAAGTAGGTCTGATCTGTAAGGGAGAAAGATGTGTACAACACTGATATATAAGATCATGAAGAGGCAAATTGAAGGTCTACCTAAGCTTACAGAAGGTCAGCTCATATCTGCTCCCTTTGTGGGGAGCTAGCTAAGAGCCTGACATGTGCAGAACAGCTGCATTTGGGTTCTGTTGGAGCATCTTTCTCTCAGAATCTCTGGTGACATCTGCAGAACTGTCTAGGCTGCTGTTTTTTTTAAATATATATATATATTATGTATACAATATTCTGTGTGTCTGCCTGCAGGACAGAAGAGGGCATCAGATCTCAGTTCAGATGGTTGTGAGCCACCGTGTGGTTGCTGGGAATTGAACGCAGGACCTTTGGAGGAGCAGGCGATGCTCTTAACTGCTGAGCCATCTCTCCAGCCCTAGGCTGCTCTTTACAATGGCCACACACATGTATACGCTCTTCTGGCAAACGCAGAGACTGTAACAGTCCACACATATCCACGCCACCAACAACCCACCACCCCTCGGCTAAGATACGTGTAGGAAAATACTGGTTCTAAACACACTCATTCCGATTCTTAAAGTCGTGGGGGTTATAGGCAGCCTTCAGCATGTAAAGCCATGTATGTGATTTGGAGAAGCTGTTCAAACTTCCAAGAAATAACTTTTGTGGGTTAAGAGTTATACATATGAGTCTCTAGCTTTTACAGTAGTGTATGTGTTTCAGTGATTAAAAAAAATTGTTATTTAAAAAAAAACTATAGGTCCTAACCTTTATAGCAAAATGGGAAGTTTAGAAGGTGTGCAATATTTATTACTAATCTTGTTAGTGAGCTTTCTATTACTATGTCAAAATACTTGAGCAAACGTAAAAAGAAGAAAGGTTTGCCTGGGCTCGAGTTTTCAGAGTTCCAGCCCATTATTAGTATGCTTTATTGCTTGGCCATCTGAGAGAAAACCATCTTGATAGGAAGTGCCTGGTAGACTTTCTCCTCATCTCCCCAGCAGGAGCCGCTAGTTCCCCCATAAGACTGCAGGCTTGGCGCTAAGCCTTCAAGGGATGTCAAATTCCACACTGCAGCCATCTTTAGGGCCAATTCGTGCATGGGGGGGCGAGGGGAGTCTGTGTGCTACACAGAAGTTCTGAGGCTGGGGCAGCCGTGGGGGTCGCCCTCATTCATGGCTGTTTTCTCTTCTGCAGACGATCACTCGCGGGTGCGGCTGCAGATGCTGGACGGAGACAACAATTCCGACTACATCAACGGCAACTACATCGATGTATGTATTTTACAGCTGCCAACCAACCCAGGCTTCCGGTCACACACCACACCCCGGCTCCGCCGCGCAGTTAGTTGATGTGTGTCGGCGGCATCCACAAGCAAGCGTCAGAGTTACCCCACGCTCCACAAATGCAGCCTGTTTGGGGAGAAACGTATTAGTCCCTCCCTATACCCTTTTTGCTTAATGTGTACTAAGGAACTGTTTTTACATTTTTGTCAACAACTTAAAGATGTTTGCATATTAATGGGACAAAGCCGCCTAATTCCTAACGCGGTGATTTGCAGGCGCTTGTCAGCGCCAGTACTTTTAAGTCGCCTTCAAAGTCATCTGCAGCTGTTCACCAGGACTTCCAAGGCAGGCAAGGCTTGTCATTAAATATGCAAGCTGTTTAATTATTGAATATGGCTGCCTTGTTCATCCTGCGTCATGTTCACTTAATGTCTTACATTAGGATAAATTCTTTAGGAGACGGCTTGTTTTCAGTTGAAAAAAAGGAATGGAATCCAAAGTAGGAAATCCCGAGTACCCTGTGGCGCCCTGCAAGACTCAGATCCATGTCCTCCCATCCCCAGGCTTAGCATGTGCTGGCTTAGCACTTCCAAGGACTGATCTTTGCCACACGTGTGCGAAGTTTCCCTAATCCCCGAATCCAGAGTCCAAACTTTTGCAGTGCTGACCCAAGGCCACCTCATGTGACAAGCTGCAGTCAGCATACAGCACGCAGCTTAGTGTCACCAGTGACAGAGGACCTCCCCGCACCTCAGCCGTAACGCGTCAACGCTGTTCCCGCAGGGTTAAATTACTATCCAGATTGCCTGAAGGCTGTGTGGCTAAGGGGTGCGTGAAACACAAATGACTTTTATGTCCCGACCCCATTCCCAGAGTGTCTGATTCCACTCCCTCTCACATCAATCATTAAATCAAGAGAATGCCCTACAGACTTGCCTACAAGGCTGATCTTTTAAAGGCTTTTTTTTTTTTTCCAATTAAGATTGCACTTCTCAGATATGTCTGGGTTTGTGTCAAGTTGACAAAGCAACCAGTGCAGGGTATTGAGGGGATCTCCAACTGGTAAGGGACACGGATGAAGACTGAAAAATAGGTCGTCGGTATCACGGGCCAGCCTGGAACCGCATGGGCTACCTCAGTCATCAGATGTGTCCCTCCTGTCTCCTCGATACTTCCTAAGGCAGTAGACTTGCAGAATAAGTAAATTAGTGTTCTTTTCCTAGGGGCATCCAAAAGCTAACAAATACATAACTCTCTAAGGAATTCTATGTAATATTGGTCTCAAATCTGTCTTTTAAGATGTGGGCGAGTCCATTTGATGACAAAATTGCAGCCTTTCTTATTCATTGCTGTTGACTCAAGAGCAAAAATAATCTAATATATAGGCATTTAAGGCATCTGAGAAATCTGTATTTTCTTTCCAAATTTTTTTTTATGTTTTCCAGTTATCTTTGAGAACAGTATTTAGGGGACTCTCCAGGGACAGAAATATATTAAGGTCCACAACGCTACAGTATGTTCTAGAAGTATTTTTCTCTGAATTGACTTTTATCTTTCCCAGATACTTGTCTTATGATATCTTTGCCTCCTGCTTTCTTTGTCCCCAGTTTAATCTTTCCTGCTTCTTTAGGGTCATGATTAAAAGAGGGGCTCTTTTATAAGCTCTCCTTCTCTAAACCCTGGCTCTTGGCCGTAGCATCATATCTTGGTAGGAGGAGTCTTTGAGAACGGTTCTGAGTGTTGCTATTGATGGAGCTGTCTATATTGATAGAGCAGAGTGTGCGTTAAGTCCTCGGCACACTGCCAGTGACATCCCCAATGCAAACAAGATGCTATTGAACATTCCCAGCCATCCACACCTTAATAAGAGCCTTAGTCACTTTAGTTCAGAGAATCCATAAATTGATAGCTCTTCCTGCTCATCCATCATCTCATGGCCCGTGTATAATGAAGTTCCTTGCACTTCTGCACAGCATCCGGAAAGTTGTATTCGAGGCGCCTTCACTTGGCAAGACAAACTAAATGATCCTGTGTCTGGCACTGAGCCATCCAGGGATGCAGGGGTTGGTGTTGGGATGCGCAGTCTTTCGCCCAGACTCAGGCTGTGACTTCTGTGCCGCCCATCGACTTTATCAAATATTCTTTCTCATTTGTTTCTAGGGCTATCATCGACCCAATCATTATATCGCAACCCAAGGTAAGTTTATTTCGGCTCTCACGCCTGTCTTTTGTTGCTTGGTCATCTCAGTCACTTTATATTTACCACCCACGGCCTCATGAAAATATTTTACATGGAGTACAATGTGTTCCTAGCATTGACACGTGTACAATTCTTTACCCAGCAGAAATTTTGGTGCTGTAGTCACTGATTTAGAACATCGTGTTGAGATCATTAAATGTGCTCGTTGACTCATGATTGAATTGAGTCTAAATGCTCTTGGAATTACTCTGCCCTTTGCAAGAATGCATTCAGTATTTTCTACGTGGCTCTGGAGAGAGTTGGGGAGAAGAGTGCCCTGTCGTAAGTGTGTGCTGGCTACTGTCTGCCCACAGAACTGTGCTAGTCCCTGCTGGGGAGCCACTGTTGACCCAGTGGCTGAGTTTAGGGGGCAGCTATGAGGTGGCCTGCGTGTATCTGGGTAGGCACAATGCACAGAGCGTCACCGAGAGGCGCAGGTAACCTGTATGCAAAAGTGGAAACGGGTGAGGCTGTTCTAATGCGATGGCCACGGAGCAGCCAGGACTTGCGGGTGATCGATGATCATGGTTGAAGACGTGGTAGCAGGAAGCTCATACTTCCAAGGTGGGATGCAGGTGGCAAACCCTTTTCCTAAGGGGAATGAAGGAAAACTAGAGGGCGTGCTGAGGAGTGTCGCCATGGCAACATCTCTGCGTGCTCTTCTCTGTGGCAGATGAGGATGGTCATCCTAAAAGATAGCTTAGTGGATGGATATGAATGAGTTAAAGACGTGTTAGAACACAGAGAAGACCCAGCAAGGTCAAAGAACATGTATTTCTCCATTTTTTTTTAACTTAATCATTCTTGCTGGTGATCTATTTGTGTTAGCTTTACAATGCTACAACAAAAGGCCTGAGACTTATCAGCCGACAAACAAGGTCATTTTGCCATCTTAGTGTTTTCAGTCTACGACTAACCTTCCCTGTTGCTGAGGGTCTGTGGCCTTCCCAGACTTTTCAGCATTGATTTCCCACCAATATCAGACTTTGATCTTAATGATAATGTCGGTATTTCTGAAGATAAAAAGGATCTATTTCAAACTTGATTTTTTTTTTATTGTATTGTTTTTGGGGCGGAGTGTTTGTTTTCAGAATGCTTTTCCTGTCCGCCTGCGTTAGTTCTTTTCTGTCTAGGTTGATGGTCCAGTATGAATATCATCAACATCTGAACGATACATTCATACGATTGTAACATGTCAGATTCATGACTCAGCGAATCGGAGGACAGTAGGAGAGGGTTTCCAACACCCAACTCGCAGCAAGGGGCTTTGCCAGGGGCTAGGCTCGCTCAGAGCTGATCGTGTTTCACAATCACAGCCTCATGAAGTGGGCCTCAGATGGGATGGTAAACACTAAAAACCACTTGGTGTCCTGACCAGGAGAGCTCCTGCTGACTTCCTGATGGGCACCAAGGGGGTCTGCACGAAACTGGCTTTATTGCTTAGCTGCATTTTAAAAGCTGACTTCAGGAGAATCCTGCTTTAGCCAACATAGGGAAGGAAACCTCAAAAGGAAATCTGTAAGTGACTTTCTGTTATGGTGGGGGTGGTTTGTGAACACTGTCCCTCTTTCTGCCTTTTGCGCTCTCTCTCTCTCTCTCTCTCTCTCTCTCTCTCTCTCTCTCATTTTCATGTTTGATCTATATTTTTATCTCTTTTATTTTTTACATAGCACTTACGAGGTGCAGCATAACACTTTAATATACGTTTGCAATGTGTGGTGACCAGGCCAGAATGACTGAAATTTTCCATGTGTGCCGAGCACATTTTGAATCCTTTCTGGCCATCCTGAGGTCTTTGTTAATCGCCGCCGACGCTGTAGCGGCATTTGGCGTGTGGAAGCTCTTCTCTCGGGGTTGATACTGTGGCTCAGTAACAGAAAACTTTGCCAAGATGCTCAGGGTGCTGAGTGCCATCCCCACCCCAGAATTTGTTCCTCCTGTGCAGCTGCACACTGTACCTCTTCCTCACTCCAAACAAGCCTTTTCCAGAGTGCACTCAAGGACCCCCCTCTTTAGAGAGGGGCCACTTGACTATCAGGCCTGGACTACGTGCTCAGCCTTCAAAAACAACATCATTACGTGAGCGTAGAACCCAGCACCTCCCTGCTAGCCAGTAGTGCCTCTCACTGCCACGCAACTTAGCAGGTTTTCTATGATACAATCTCTTAATTTTTGTCTCTCAATTGAAACTGCCTTAAGCACCGTCATTTTTACCATGATAAGTTTAAGAAACTATTATTAAAATGATGTCAAATTAACTTCAAGCTGAAGGGCCCTCGAGTTCTAATCTTTCACCCTGTGGCTACAGTCAGTGGGGTCTGGGCTTCTGTTGCCTTTTGAGGTTTTCTCGCTTGTGTGTTATTGTTTTACATTTGTTTCCCCCAAAGTTTATGTCTGCTGATTTCCCAACAGTTTGAGTATATATATTGGAAAAGGACTCAGCGATAAGAAAGTAAATGAATGGATCCCAAGACTGACATTTATGTCTTTAAAATCAGCTACCTTGGAGATATACACTGTAGTCCAAAGGTCTGAGTTCAAACCTATGCTGTCACAGAAGCTGTCTGAGCCTCCTGAATTTATCGGGGTGGAAACTTAGTGTTTGGGAAGTAGCAGTCCTTTGGATTTCTCTCCACAGCGTGTCCTCCATGCCTGCACATAGCACAGCAGTTTGTTGCCGCAAATACGGAGGTAGATGCCTAGGTGCCAGTATTGCCCACAGGTAGTAGATGAGGAACCCAGTCACCGGAAACCTAACAGACCCCAACCTCCAGCACCTCACATTCTGAGGATTAAATTCATCCGTGTAAATGGCATCTTCATGTGCGCTATTGATAGCTTCATGCTTAGGGAGGCAGATGCCATGGCATCTAGAGACTAGTAGATGTCATAGAAACATAAAATGACCTCCTCCGGTACTGGCCTTGGACATGCACGGAGCCCACACAGAGTATGCCGCACTAATCAGGTACTAAAAATGTAAATACTCCTTAGTAAATTCTAGAACCTAAACTTCACTTTTCCCTACATGGAGAAACTAGAACTGAACATCACTAAGGCTTGGCATGGTCTTTAGAGACTATTGCCTTGGGAGAGTCAGCATCCAGACGGGCCCTGTGACTCATGCCCTTGGCTTTCTCCCCGCCTGCCTTATACTCAGAGGCTGCTGCTGGCCGTCATCACGGTATCAAGCCAGACTGGCAGAGAGCACACAGGTAGATCTAGAAAAGGAACACCAGGTAGAAATGGCTGTGTCTATCAGGCAACACTGGGACAGCCTGGTAGGCGATGACAGAGGGTTGTTCCGAAGCTGGACATTGGAGGGAGTGACAGGGTCATTCACTGATTCAGTGAGCAGTACCAAGCGACTAGTCAATGTGGCCCATACCATGCGGATGCTTGGTAGAAGGGCGAGAATGTGTGAGTATACAAGACTTTAGCCAGGTGAAAAGAAAAGGTCGCGCTGGCCCCACAAGGCCTCTGCCCTGGGGAATACATAGCTGGCATATCCCCAGTGACATGTTTGTCTCCTTCTTCAGGTAAGGGATGCCCAGCTCCTAGTCCACGGAATACTTTTCTTTAGGTATATCTTCAGAAACAGCTCGACTCATGTAACTGATCTGATTTAGCGTTGTTCCTGTTTATACAAGTAGTCGCCCCCCCCCTCCGCCCGCCAGACCCTGGCCGCCCAGTGTGCCTTATTGAATTAATTTTGATTGCCATCCTTGGTCCATTATTTGAGAAATGAGAAGCCTGAAGCTTTTTGACTCCAGAGATTTGCGTCTGGGGGCCAACGTCACCGTGAACATGATCGACATTAGAGTGACGGTGTCTAGAGGGGACAGAGATTACAGAGCCTCAGCCACCCACAAACAGGAAACCACTCCAGTGGCTTCTTCCTGTGGGGACAAGAGCCTGGTTTTCTCATGCTTTCATTCTCTCTGTGTTCCAGACAGATGAGCCGGCTTCTGCATCCCTAGCTCAGAATCCACCCCCAGGCTCGGGTGTAGTCAACACAGGGCTCTCAAGAGCTCACACGACTTTCAGTGGCAGCCATTCTCGAAGTGGAAGGTTCTCGAGGCTCCTGTACCCATTCCACACACTTCACTCTGTAAAGAACCATTTGTCCCCACATCCTGGCCTCTAAGTTGAGATGACCACTTGAAATTATTCCCCAGTAGAATTGGAAGAGCTGGTTTCGTTCATAAAAATCTTGGCCTTCACTGACAGCATTTGTTTCTCTGCCCCAGCACCCAGGTGCCCAGTTTTTCACCTCTAACTTCTCTGTCACTCCTGGTCTTGTTTCTCCTGGCTGAGTGGTTCCTACATCATCAGCCAGTTGCAGCTCATGTTATGGACTCTTTTGTTTGGCCTCTTTTGAGACTAGTGAAATGGAGCACTCTTCAGCTTCCAACGCTAAAGGGGCCAGGGCTTTGAAAACAAAATCATGTGATTTCCATCAAACAGCGATCACCAAACTAAGGATTCCAGCCACATCTACAGGAGGCAAGCTGCGCCGTGCACTTGTTTCTGGCCGTCTTAGAATGCACAGTTGCGATGACAGTTCATCCAGAAAATTCCTTTTAACAACCCAAGTTTATATCCAGAGTTATTGGCCCAACTGTCCAATGGTCTAAATCGTAGATGTCTCTCAGGCCCGTATTCCTAATAAACCCACACTGAGAACACTTAAAGACACAGTCAGACTAAAAAGAATAGTGATAAACAGGGGAATGAGATCCCAGCCACCTATGTCCTTATGGGACAGAAGTATGTCCCGAAATAATGGGGCTTCAGCTTAATTCAACCAGAATAATGTAAAGTCAGGTGATAGTCATGCATAAATGCTCTTTATTTGCTTGTAATCTTTTATTTTCCTTTTACATTATTTTTGGTATGTTTATGGAATATAGTCTCTATCTACATATGCATCTCAAGGTAATCATACCAAGGTAGTT